ACAAAAAACGAAAACAATAAAGAAGACTTCTGAAGAGCTTAATCTAAAAAAAAAATTAAGAGACAATTTTTATTAAAGCTAAATGAAAAAAGAAATGATTAAAAATACATTTTCTCATACAGTTGAATGAAGCTAAAAGACCCTCTCCTTTAATGCTAAATGAAAAAAAAGTAAAGAAAGAAAAAAAGACGGGACATTTTCTCTTAAAGCTCAGACAGCCTTCTGAAAAGGCCAACACGGCCTACAGGCACAGGACGCCCTGTCTCTCGTATTAGAAAACAAACCCTGACAGGTGTGGGATTAATCAATTAATTCCACACGACTATTCAACTTTTTTTGGGATTCAAAGTCAAATTGATAACAACGACCTACTGTCTATTCAGCTCAACGTGGTCCTCACTCTAGGTACATTTTTCAATATTCGAAGTGCCTATTAGCGTTTTCTTTATCTCAGTGGTAGAAACTCTTTCTTGCACACCTTCGGATAAACGTTGAAATTTTGACGCACCCTTCACTCTACTTTAATTTGTTTGCAGAGAACACAAGCACACAGCTGAACTCCCGATGGTCGGTTGGTGGTGTCGAGTGACTTGACTTTTACCCCCTCGGCACGCAGAGTGTGTTGTCCGAGATCCGATCTCGCTCAGCAAGCCACGTGTTATTTAAACTACGGTGATATTTCCTAACTTTCTCCGTACCCGACTGCCTTTTCGTCTTGATGACATTTTCCATTAAAGGTCTCTCCCGACGATTGGAAAAAAAAATGAAAGCGCTTTCGCGGATCGCATCCATCGATGCAATCGAGACCAAAGCACGCCCACGATTGAGTTTCGCGGATCTCTCCACATTCTTTTTTTAATTGCTGACCAGGCGACGCACCGGGCCACCGTGGAAAATTGCAACAAAGCCCAATTGTGATGGTTGAAGCAGTTCTTTGATTGTCGTCTACTAGAGAGCTATCACTGGATAACTTTGAGGTAGAGTAAACAAATTAGTAGTTACTCAAGACATGATTTGGTGAAGGGG